GGGGCGGGCGGCAGACCGCGGGCTGGAGACCCGGGCGCGGGGCGGAGGCCTGGGCTGCGGAGGAGGAGGGCAGAGCCGCCGAGTCCAAAGCGGAGAAAAGACCCTGGGTAGGGAGGAGTGCGCGCGAGACGGAGCCCTGGGCCGGGAGGGCTGGGGGAGGGGGTTACTGGGAGCGAGCGGGAGAGACGACGAACTTAGAGAAAGGACGGCGAGGACAGAGGGACCTCGGACCCACCTGGCGGGGGCCCAGCACCCCGCACAGCGCGTTCTAGGACCCACTTCTTAAGAGGTCTCTCCTCTCCAGGCCCTGCCTTCTGAGAAGTGAGGCCTCTGTCCTGGGTTGGAGGAAGGGATGGAGCCCCACCCCACCCCCCACCCCGGCTCCAGCCTGGGGAAAAGAGAGGGTAGCCCCAGACCCCAAAGCTTCTGCTTTCTCCTGCCAGTCTAGAAGGCCAGCGGCCCGAAGGCTGTCCCCATTACGTGCCTGTGGCCCAGGTCTGTTTGGGAAGAGGACACCCAGGCTTTGGAATCCCCGCAAATCCCCACTGGCGTCCAGGTTCATGGTCCAGGTCAGGGGTACGCAAACCTGTCAGTTAAAGACCTGGGCGATAAACATGTCAGATCTCGCAGCCGGCACAGGTCCCTGTCCTAACTGGTAGGAACACTGCCACAGATAGTTAGGAAAGGTGGCCGTGTTCCAGTGAAACTCTATTGATGGACACTGAGTTTTAATTTCATGCCATTTTAATTTGTTCCAAAATATTCTTTTTTTCCCAACTTTTTTTTAAAAATTACTAGACAGCACATGCACCTGCCGGAGAGAGAGCGAGAGAGCACCCCCAGTGGGCCGCGGTCACACTGCGAGCCTCTTTCCTGCATTTCTCCGTTCTGTCAGGACTTGGGGCATGCACGCACAGGTACCTGGCATGTTTTCCAAGCTGCCAGGGCTGTGTTTTAACCACGGTGGGCCATGCGGGGTCTGCTTACTGTGCACAGCACCGACCACTTGCTATGGGGCCAGCCCAGGGTTTTTTTGTTTGTTTTTGTTTTTGCTGTAGGGCACATGCACTTGCCAGAAAGAGACAGAAAAAAATAGTAAGAAATCACCCCCGAGGGGGTGGCTATGCCGCAATCCCTTCTCCATTCCCCTCTGAGTTTCAGGCATGTATGTTCACACGCCTGGCGTGCTTTTCAAGCCACTGGGTCCAGGACTTGAACTATGCAGTCAGCCATGTAGGATCCTGTGCCTTTACCTCCATGCCACCTGCTGGTCTCTTAGCCCACCTTTTTGTTCAGCTATTTTAAACTGTAAGAACCATTCTGAGCTTGCAGCTGTACAGAACAGGTGGTGACTGAGCGGCTTCCAGCCACATACCCACCCCCAATCTCCCTGCAGGGCTGCCCAAGGCTGCAAAAGGGGCAGGGGGGAGATCTAGGTGCTGGGGATCCTCCTGCCTAGGGGCAGTCAGAAAGCTGGGATGGGTCTGTGACCACTGCTCCCACCTACTCTTAGATCCCAGCATCCTTTGAGGCAGTGCTGGAGCTGGTACCCCAAATGTGTGCCCATGTGACGGCCAAGTATCTTTCCAAGGGGCTTTCTACCCAGTGCATGTCACCCTCACCTCATCGCAGATGAGACAGCTGTGTCCCCACCCCAAGAAACCAGTGAGCTAAGCCTTGGCCCCCCCTCCTCTGCTGCACCCCCACCCCCAGCAGCCTTGGTCTCTGGCTGGCACCACCCACTGCTGTGGGCAGGCCTTCAGCACTCTATTTTCTTTCTTGCAGTTTCAGGGGACTCCTTTCTCCTGGACCTTGGAGCTATGACCCTTTGGAGGTGACCCAGGAGAGGAGGGATGCAGGCCTTTGTTCCTCCAGATAAGGGACCCCTCCAAGGCCTCGTGGCCTCCCGCATTGAGACCTACGGGGGCCGGCATGGGGCCCCTGCCCAGAGTGTCCATTCCCGAGGAGTTCCGGTGCCGGTGAGTCCAGGCTGTGACCGAGGGCGACCTGGGTGTGGCAAGAAAGAGGACACCCAGGCTTTAGAGTCCCTGTCCACTTCATGGACTGCTCTATTCCTGTCCTCACCCCCGTATCCTCTGACGGAGCGGGGGAGAGAGGGCACTGCCTGGGCCGGGCTCCCAGGGCTTCACACCCTTGTCCCAGATGGCAGGGCAGGAGAGGCAGGGAGCCCTCAGAGGAGATGCAGTTGGGCAGGTCTGAGACACAGAGCTGCCAGTAAGGCCACCAGACCCCGGGGGCTGGCCCCTCCCAGACTCCCGCCTCTACCTGGGAGGGGTCTTGGGCTCCCTGGGCTCGGCCTCCCTCTGAGTCAGGGCTGGGGAAGAGCAAAGGTTCAGGGTGTCCCTGCTCTGCAAGTGGCAGGAGGCTGACCTGACTCCACCCCTGCTCCACCTGCCTGGCCCACCTCCAGCCCAGCCAAGGAAGGGATGTGGAAGCCAGAGCCTGGTCCTTGCTCAACCTCAGGGCTCCCGGCATGAGCTATCCCCTGCCTCTGGGAGGAGGATTTGGCCCTTGGGGAGGGGGCTCTCCAAGGCCGAGGGCGAGGGCGGAAGGGAGACTAGGAAATGAGGTGTGGGGATAATTCAGGCCACAGGTGGATCAAGGAATGTGACCAGGCCTGCCCTGGGAGGAGACTTGTGGCTGTGGACTCAACCCCCCCCCCGGAGGGCCAGCCACTCCCCACGGGAGAGAACACAGCTTGCGTGCCCCTGGGCAGGAAGCTGCACATGTGTGTGCCCTCGTCCCCACGTGCGAGAAGCGGGTAGTAGCCCAGGGAAGCCGTGAGGGACCCAGAAGGCAATGTGCACCGTGCGTCAGCCATGCATGCCACAGCTCAGAGAGCACACGTGTGAGGGGTGACCTCATGCATGTGCCTGCCTGAGCTCCTGCTCTGGGGGAGCCCACTCACAGAGCCAGGACGGCATGTCCCTGCTCGGCTCTGCCAGTCTCCCTGGCAGCCGCGGCGGTGACTCAGGGACAGCCTACGCCCGCTGGTCTGAGCGGGGAGCTAAGCTGGCCCAACCTGTGGGAGGGGGACACGTCTAGAGCCAAGCCTGGCCCCTGCTACCCCTCTGGTACTTCTGGGTAAAGGAGGCACCCCAGAGCTTCCCCCGCTCCTCCTCCAGGATGCCAGCCGCTACCGCCTGCCGCTCTATGTCCCCTTTCCCAAGAGCTCCGGCCAGGCCAGAGGCCTGCCTCCTGTGGTATTGCGAGAACCAGAGGCAGAGAGGAGGCATGGAGGCTATGGGGGCCCACTTCACTCCCCCAAACTCAAGGTAAGGGCTTCGTCTGCCCCACCCTGCTCACCGTCCCCACTGCAATGCCCGCACGGTGATGAATGAGCACCGGTCGGGCCCAGCAACCCCCTTGCCTGGCAGCCCCTTCAAAAAGCGGGATCTGTCTCGTCCTATCAGAGACACTCCCAGGAGACAGCTCTACTTGATCCCTGTGCTGGGCCCAGCGACTCTGACCCAAGACATCCAGATAAAATTTAAAGGATAAATTATTAATAGGAAACTTTCAGCTTTTGAAAATCACCCAATATTATGCAAGCCAGACACGCTCCGTCCACCCCCAAGGCTCACGTCATCCTTTTCCCCAGCTGTGAACCTCACCCCTCTTCCTGAGCCACAGTGGGGAGGCAGCGAGGGTTGGAGTACCTGCCGCCCACGTGACTTGGGACCCCAAACCCCTGTAAGATCTTAGTCATGCTACTTCATAAAAATGTCTACCAGTGGGGCCAGCGGGTGCCTTGGTGGTTCGTGTGCTGCACTTCCACATGGCTGACTCCAGTTTCAGCCCCAGACCCAGCGGCTTGAAAATCACACTGGGCACGTGTGTGTGCATGCCCCAAATCCTGAGAGGAGAATGGAGACAGGACTGTGGTATGGCCATCCCCCAGGAGGTGGTTTCTCTCTTGCCCTCTCTCTGGTGAGCTCTGTGGCAAAAACCTAAGGGAAAAAAAAAAAAAAGTCCACTTATGTGCAAATGCTAAAATGGTACCTGATGGGACTAGTAGGTGGTTATGTTGTTGGACTCCTACGTAGTTGACTGCGGTTTGAGTCCCGGACCCGGCAGCTTAAAACTCATGCTGGGCACGTGTGCATGAGTTCCCAAGATCCCAAGAGGAGAAGGGATTGTGGCATAGCCATCCGCCCTGGGGTATGATTTCTCGTTTTCTCTCTCCCTATCTCTCTCTGTCTCTCTGGGGAGCACACACGCCCTATAGCAAAAACTTCTCTCTAAAAAAAAAAAAAAGTGCCTGAGACCACTGGCTTTCTAAGTCCCTTTCTGGTCTCCACCCGAAGTTCCCTTTGAAGGGTCCATTCTGTCCCCACCTCTGTTCTGAATCAGGAGGCCTCTGGATGGTGGCTTCCTGGTCAGGGAGCCCAGGCCAGACCCCGCCGCCTGAGGACTTTTCTGTAGCTGATCACCTCTCCAGCTGCATTCCAGCAATGCCTTTCCCCTAAAATTCCAGCAGGGCCAATCCCTGTCCCCCGGGTCTCCATGTCCCCACTCGTAGTCACGCTGCCCGCTACTTCCCATCACACACAGCCCACGCCCCCTGCAGCCGGGCAGCTGAGCCAGGGCTGTGGCAGCACCAACTCCCTTCTCGGCCCTGCAGGAAGTCACCGTTGCCCACGAGCTGGAGTTAAGGCTGCACACGTTCAGCATGTTTGGGATGCCCCGCCTGCCGCCCGAGGACCGGCGACACTGGGAGATAGGAGAGGGTGGCGACAGCAGTCTGGCTATCGAGAAGTCCTGGAGGGAGCTGGTGCCCGGGCACAAGGTAGGCCTGAAACCGCCTCCGTACTGTCACAGACACATCCGCACCCCTTACTTCTGCCCCGGAGGAAAGAAGGGCCTCAGGAAGTAGGATCATGTCAGAAAGGCATTTGGAGGGAGTCGCCTTGATCTAGGTTCAAATCCCAGCTCCGACACTGGCTATGAGATGTTGGTCAAGATGGCCAGCCCCTGGGACCAGCAGTTAGCGTAATGGCTATGTCGCTGGACTCCCACGTAGTCGACCGCGGTTCGAGTCCCGGACCTGTGGCTTAAACTCACGCCGGGCGCGTGTGCGTGCGTGCCCAAGATCCCGAGAGGAGAATGGAGAAGGGATTGTGGCGTGGCCATCCCCCCTGGGGGGTGATTTTTCGTTTTCATTCTCTCTGTCTCTCTCTGTGTGGCAAACGCACCACGCCCGATAGCAAAAACCTCTCAAAAATAAAAAAAAAAGACGGCCAGCCCCTCTGAGCCTCAGTCGCCTCATGTATACCGTGAGGATAACAACACCTACACGCTGGACGGTCGGCCTGAGGACCGCAGAGTCGTGCACAGTGTCCAGAACCTACGCAGTGGCACCTTCCACTCCATCACCCCCAACTGAACCAGCACTATCCCCACGCAGGAGATGAGCCGCGAACTCTGCCACCAGCAGGAGGCGCTGTGGGAGTTACTGACCACCGAGCTGATCTACGTGAGAAAGCTCAAGATCATGACCGAAGTGAGCATCCCTCAGCCCTAGCCCTGGCCCCATCCTCTACCGTTTCCCCCTCCCCCTGCACTGTCCCCGCTCTCCCCAACCAGAGGAGCCTGGCATGGGGGCAGAGGGTGGGAAAAGACGGACAGGATACCAACGGATCCTGATTTTGACCTGCATGGGATCTGGGGGGAGAGGGTGACAGTACTGGTGTGGGTGGGGACTGGAGGTGACAGCGAGGACTAAGCTGGGGTCCGAGAGGAGGCGGGTCAGATGCTAGACCCTAATCTCTCTCCGGTCTCTAGCTCCTGGCTGCTGGTTTGCTGAATCTGCAGCGAGTAGGACTGCTGATGGAAGTGAGTGGGAGCTGGGGTGTGGGCGGGGTCCCCCCAGGCTGCTCCGTTTTCTGGGACACCCCTTGCCCTCCCTGCTCTGCTCTTGCTCTAGACCCCAAGCAGGCTGCAGATCCCCCGCTTCCGGTACTCGGCCCGTTAAGGTGGAAGGGAAGGTGGAGCCCTGAGGCCGTCCAGGCCCACCAGTGCTGCCCGGGGTGACCTGTGGAAGGTTTGTGGCTCTATTCTGCTCCTTCCCCCAGGTGTCAGCTGAGACTCTGTTTGGAAATGTCCCCAGCCTGATTCGAGCCCACCGGAGCTTTTGGGAGGAGGTGCTGGGGCCCACCCTGGAGGAGGCTCGTGCCTCCCGTCAGCCCCTGGACCCCATCAGCCTGCAAAATGGCTTCCTCACGGTGAGGCTGGTGAGGGCCCTGTCTGGACACGCAGGACTGGGAGGTCTGTCCGTGAGCATGGCAGTGGAACTTTGGATCCCTCTGTGATGTGAGGGCCCCTACACCTAAATATCGCCTCACCTGCCCTTCATTCTGCACGTTCACTCTCCGTCCTGAAGGTCCTCTGGCTTGGGAGGCCCTTACGAAATGAAAACACAGCTATCTCAGAGAAGGGCCACGCCCAAGCACTTATCAACTAGAGCATCTTCATTCTTACACAGAGACTCTTAGACAAACAGCTGGTGTGAGTGGGGCCTATGTGAGGGGACCCTCGGGGTGGTAAGAGGCCCTGGGGGCCCCAGGTTGTGGAGAACAGAGATCGAGAAAGTGAGAGGGCCTAGGACCAGCCTGCCTTCCAGTTTTACCCAGCCAGGAAAACGCGGACCCTGCAGGAAGATCTTGTGGTGGGGCAGGGAGGTGGGGGAGCCTGGGAGCCTTTAGCACCCCTCCCACGGGAGCAGGACTTCTGGGCAAATGCGGGGTCAGCCCTCCCCCCATGGGGTGAAATGGGATCTAGTGTTCTGGAAACAGTTCGTCTGAATTATTGATGGGGGGCGAGGAGTCCAGAGCGGCAGGTCATGCAGACACAGAGGATGGCCCCGGGTCTGTCTCTCGGGCTCCACCCTGGGGTGCACAGGCCTAGCCTGGCTGGAGAGCAAGCATGAGAGGAGCTAGACTAAGGGTCTGTGTGTGTGAGGCTCTCCCCGCCCCCCCCCCACCTCCCCCGGGACCCTTCCCCTC